GTGGAGAACAGACAATGAATTCCTTGACACTTCTTTTACTGTTCTGCTTTCCTCCTGACTCCATACCTCAAGATGTATTATAACACCTTCAAATGAAAGATAAAGTAAAATGACACAAAAGTACATAGCAAAGAGAGGAATGGTGCGAGGAGCATGATGCATTACTCTTTCCATTCTAGCCATTACTGCAAATGAACCACAAACTCACAAATCTTAACCGTTTCCTATTCTCCCAGGCACTGCTACAACACACAGCCATTTTCAGTTTTGTCAAGGAATCCATTTAAGGAGATTCTGATGAATGAAAAAAGTTAACAGACGTTAAGTTGTAATTATACCTAATAAATCATACATAAGGCTCCTTGGAGGAGTATATTTTTTTTATTTTCTTATTTCTTTAGATGACATTTTTTTAACTGGCTAATAAAAAGATACAACGGAAAATAAGGCTCAGTATGACCAAATAGTTGTATTAATGTGTCTGGGGAAAAAGAAATTTGTAATGGTCTTCATAATATTAATACAATTTCCGGTTTAATAGGATTTTTAAATACATATTAAGTAGAACATGTGGTTTTTGTGGGTAAATGATTTCCCTTGCTATAAATTGTTATAGTTTGGTTTAAATAACCAATAAATCTTAATCTTAAATTGACTTGTACAAAAGGATACTTAATCTCATTTACTGATATCTGTGTCAACATCATCAGTTCACCAGAACTAGTGTACTGCAATGTTATCTCACCTATTCCTGAACCAGTGAGATCTCAGCTGTACAACCCCATCAGTCTCCATTTAATCCATAGAGTTCACTATCAGAACTAGTGTACTGCAATGTTATCTCACCTGTCCCTGAACCAGTGAGATCTCGGCTGTACAACCCCATCAGTCTCCATTTAATCCTATAGAGTTCACTATCAGAACTAGTGTACTGCAATGTTATCTCACCTGTCCCTGAACAGTGAGATCTCGGCTGTAACCCCATCAGTCTCCATTTAATCCTATAGAGTTCACTATCAGAACTAGTGTACTGCAATGTTATCTCACCTGTCCCTGAACCAGTGAGATCTCGGCTGTACAACCCCATCAATCTCCATTTATTCCTATAGAGAGTACACTATCAGAACTAGTGTACTGCAATGTAATCTCACCTGTCCCTGAACCAATGAGATCTCGGCTGTACAACCCCATCAGTCTCCATTTAATCCTATGGAGTTCACTATCAGAACTAGTGTACTGCAAAGTTTATCTCACCTGTCCCTGAACCAGTGAGATCTCGGCTGTACAAACCCCATCAGTCTCCATTTAATCCTATAGAGTACACTATCAGAATTAGTGTACTACAATGCTATCTCACCTGTCCCTAAACCAGTGAGATCTCGGCTGTACAACCCCATCAGTCTCCATTTAATCCTATGGAGAGTTCATACTCTGGACTCTCCATTGAGAGTCAGTGGTGTATTTTGGTTTTGTGCTACCCTAGGCAAGACTAAAATCGGGCACCCCCCGCATCTAAATGTGTCCCACCCCTTCCTGTTTAAGATCCACCCCTTCATCTGTAAACCACCCCACCCCTTCCATTTAGGCTCCACCTCTTTCTATTAGAGCTCCACCCACAACGATGGGCCGCTATTCCTCCCACTTCCTCCCACTGACACCAATAATGGGGGCACTATTCCTCCCACTGACACCAGTGATGGGGCACTATTCCTCCCACACTGACACCAATGATGGGGCACTATTCCTCCCACACTGACACCAATGATGGGGCACTATTCCTCCCACACTGACACCAATGATGGGGTACTATTACTTCCACTCCCACACTGGCACTAATGATGGGGCACTATTCCTCCCCACTGACACCAATGATGGGGCACTATTCCTCCCACTGACATCAATAATGGGGCATTATTCCCCCACTGACACAACAATGGGGCACTATTCCTCCCACTGACCACCAGTGATTGGGGCACTATTCCTCCACACTGACACGATGATGGGGCACTATTCCTCCCACACTGACACCGATGATGGGGCACTATTCCTCCCACATGACACCAATGATGGTGCACTATTTCCTCCACTGACACCAGTGATGGGGTACTATTACTTCCACACTGACACCAGTGATGGGGCACTATTCCTCCCACACTGACACCAATGATGGTGCACTATTCCTCCCCACTGACACCAATCATGGGGTACTATTGCTTCCCACACTGACACCAGTGATGGGGCAACTTTTCCTCCCACACTGACACCAATGATGGGGCACTATTCCTCCCACACTGACACCAATGATGGGGCAATATTCCTCCCACACTGACACCAATGATGGGGCACTATTCCACTATTCCTTCCACTGACACAATGATGGGGTACTATTACTACCTCCACACTGACACCAGTGGTGGGGCACTATATTCCTCCCACAACTGACACCACTGATCACCAATGATGGTTGGGTACTATTACTTCCACACTGACACCAGTGGTGGGGCACTATTCCTCTCAAACTGACACCAATGATGGGGCACTATTCCTCCCACACTGGCACTAATGACGGGGCACTTCTCCCACTGACACCAATCAGAGAGATGAGGGAGGGAGAGAGAGAGAGAGAGGAGAGCCTCCGGGGAGAGGGGAGAGGGGGGGGAGAGGGGAGAGAGAGGGGAGAGAGAGAGAGGAGAGGAGAGATAGAGAGAGGGGGAGAGGAGAAGAAGAGAGGAGGGAGAATAAAGAGAGGGGGGGAGAGGAGAGAGAAGAGAGAGAGGGGGGAAAGGAGGAGAGAGAAGAGATGGAAGAGAGAGATGAGATAGAGAGAGAGGAGAAGAGAGAGGGAAGGAGAGAGAGAGAGAGGGGGGGGGGGGACATAGAGGGGAGAGAGGAGAAGGAGGAGAGAGGGAGAGAGAGGGAGGAGAGAGAGAGAGAAGGGAGAGAGGGGGGAGGGGGAGGGGGGGGGAGAGAAGAGAGAGGAGAGAGAGAAAGAGATAGGGAGATTATAGAGGGAGGGATGAGGGGGCGGAGGAAGGGAGAGAGAGAGAGAGAGGGGGGAAGAGAGAGAAGGAGAGATGTGGGGGGGAGAGAGAGGGGGGAGATGGGGGAGATGGAGGGGGGAGAGAGAGAAGGAGAGCGTGGGGGGAAGAGAGAGAGTGGGGGGCGAGAGAGGGAGAGGGAGAGGGAGAGGGGAGGGGAGAGGGGTGAGAGGGAGGGGAGAGGGGGGGGAGAGAAGAGAGAGAGGAGAGAGGGGGGGATAAAGAGAGAGAAGAGAGAGAGGAGAGAGGGGGGTAGAGGGGAAGAGGGGGGGAGTCGGGGGGGAGAGAGGGGGGAGAGAGAGGGGGGGAGGAGAGAGGAGGGAGATAGTGAGAGGGGTATTGGAGGGGAAGGAGGGAGAGAGAGAAGAGATGGAAGAGAGAGATGAGAAGAGAGAGGAGAAGAGAGAGCAGAGAGGGGGGGGGGAGAGGAGAGAGAGAGACAGGGATGAGAGGACATAGAGGGGGGGGAGAGGAGAAGGAGAGAGATAGGGAGGAGAGAAAGAGACTGGAGAGAGAAGGGAGAGAAGGGAGAGGGGGGGAGGGAGAGAAGAGAGAGGAGAGAGAGAAGAGAGATAGGGAGAGAGGAAAGAGGGGGGAAGAGAGCGGAGGGAGGGAGAGAGGGGGGAGAGAGAGAAGCGGAGGGAGAGAGAGAGGGAGAGAGAGGAGGGAGGAGGGAGAGAGGGTGAGAGAGAGGAGAGGGAAGGAGGGGGGGAATAGCAAGGGAGGAGGGAGAAGGGGAGAGGGGGGAGCGGCGAGAGGGAGAGAGGAGGGAGAGAGAGAGAGGGGAGAGAGCGGGGGGGGAGAGAGAGGAGGGGAGAGGAGAGGACAAGGAGGGAGAGAGAGAGAGGGGGTAAAGAGAGAGAGGGGGAGAGCGAGGGGGGAAGAGAGAGAGGAGGGAGGAGAGGGAGGAGGAGGGGGAGAGGGGGAGAGAGGAGAGAGAGAGGGGGAAGAGAGAGAGAGAGGAGAGAGAGGAGGAGAGGGGAGGGGCGAGAAGAGAGAGAGAAGGGAGAGGGGGGAGGAGAGAGGAGAGAGAGAGAGATGAGAGGAGGAGAGAGAGAGGGGGGGAGAGGAGAGGGGGGAGTGAGGGGGGAGAGAGTGAGTAGGGGGGAGGGAGGGAGAGGGGGGGAGGGAGGGAGGAGAGGAAGAGAGAGAGAGGGAGGAGAAAGAGGGAGAGAGAGAGGGAGAGAGGGGGGGGAAATAATACACAATGCATGGCTGGAAGTGTGGGCGGGGGCAGACACAGGAGGAGACAGCGGGAGGAGCAGGGACAGCTTTCTCTCTTGCTCTCCGGTCTGTGCGAGGGGAGGGGGAACTGTCAGCACTGGGGATGCATATGCTGACAGATCCCCTGCAGTGCTGGAGGGGAGGGGTGGGGTAGCATACAGGAGCTGACTGTATGCAGGAGATGGATAGGGGAGGTGACTGGCGGCACATAGCGCATAGAGAGAAATTGCACGGTCCTCTATGTGCCGCCCGGCCCCCCTCTCCAGCCGGCTCCATAGTCAAAAGGTTCTCTGTCTCCTTGCCGCTGAGCACACACACACACACGAACCCCACCGAGCACGCCCCCCTGGCCAAGCACAGCCTTTGCAGTGACAGCACTGGTCCCTTCTGCCGAGGGGCGGTGCCGCCCCCCTGAAAAAAAAAAAGTGCCGCCCAAGGCAGATGCCTTGTTTGCCTCGCGACCAGATAAACCCCTGTTGAGAGTGCAAGCTCATGAAGGGTCAGGTACAGGATAATTCGACAATTGCTGTATCTGGAGCAGGTGAGTATAAGCCTCATTCAGATGGCCATAAACATTTTTACTGATGTTGTTACACATTTGTTTTTTTAGGGGGAACAGTTCCTGCCTAATGATCAGTAAAATACTTGCATATAGATGCATTTAAATGTGTACTGACGTGCATCCCTACATATTGATCATTTACGTTTCTCCTTTGTTTAGACGTTATTTAAATGCTTATAAATTCATATACATATGTTTATACACATAAACGCATAAAGCGCACATGTTCCCAGACACAGATTTTTGGATACTGTGTTAGGAATCTGAAAGAGTGCACGTTCACATGCTGCGTGAATCGCTCCATTTGCAGGGGCGGACTGACATTTGAAATGGCACTGCCCATGGGCCCGGGGTCAGTAAGGGGCCCCATGAGATGCCCCTGGTACCTTTTTCATAGGCTTTTTTGAGTTTAGGCAAGGACACAGGGGCCCCATGATCCCCTATTGTCCGGGGGCCCCATGAGTTTTCAGTCCGCCCTGTTCCATTGAAAGCAATGCAGTTGTGTTGAGATCCGTAATTAAAAAGCATTGTATATGCCTTGTTTGCAGTATTATTATTATTATACAGTATTTATATAGTGCTAAAAGGTTTGCTGAACACTGTACATTATAGTGGGGGACAGAACATGAGACAATACAGTAACAAAACAAAACACGAGGGATTCGAGGGCCCTGCTCTTTCGAGCTTACAATTTAGGAGGGAGGGGATAGTGGTACAGGAGGAAGTGACTGTGGGGGATGGAGTGGTAGGAGGAGTGGAGGAGATCGGCTGTTAGGTGAGGGTGGGGTAGGCTTCCCTGAAGAGATGGGTTTTCAGGGTGTGCCTAAAGGTGAGGAGGGGTAGGTGAGAGTCTGATGGATTGGGGGTAGTGAGTTCCAGAGGATGGGGGAAGTCCTGGAGAAGTCCTGCAGTCGGGAGTGGGAGGTGGAGACCAGGGAGCTAGAAAGTAGGAAGTCTTGTGAGGAGGCGAAGATTACGGGTAGGGTGGTATTTGGGTAACAGGTCGGTGAGGTAGTTTGGGGCAGCATTATGAATGGCTTGTATGTCTATGTTAATAGTTTGAATTTAATGCGTTGGGCAATCGGGAGCCAGTGGAGGGAATGACAGAGGGGGGTGGCAGAAGTAAGGGGGGTGGCAGTATTGTGAATGAAGCCTAAGACTGGAGGTGTGTGGGGGTGGGTGGCTTGTCTGGTAAATGATAGGTGCTGTAAACAAGTCTTCATCAGCCTCTGTGAATTGGTACAATAGGTTGCACTTGTAAATATGACAATATTAAAGATTTACCCATCCAAAACTGACATTTCAGTGTGTGGTGGATATTGGATAGGTAAAGCTAACCATTTCCTATAAGCTCTATTTTCCCTCTATACTTACTGGTGGTGAGATTTTTCTGCTTCAGTTCTCAGGCCTGCGCATTTGTCATGGCAATTTTAACCACTCCAGATACTTTTACCCCCCTTCCTGTCCAGGCCAGTTTTCAGATTTCAGTGTTATCACACTTTGAATGACAATTGCACGGTCATGCAACGCTGTACCCATATGTATTTTTTAGCATTTTTTGAGACATAAAACTTTATTTTGGTGGCATTTATTCACCACTGGGATTTTTTTTTTTTTTTTTTTTTTGCTATATAAATGAAAAAGTCCAAAGATGTTTAAAAAAGGGGTTTTTCTTATAAAAATTTAGCAAATAAATAATCTTTCTTCATAAATCTTGGCCAAAATGTATTTGGTTATCTTTTTAGTAAAAAAAAATATAACCCAAATTAGTTAATAACTAAAATTATAATTTTTCAAAACGTTAAATTTTTTTTTTTTTATATTATTATTTATGTTTTTTTTAACATACTGTCACTCTAGCAGTACAGTGTCAGCGGCGTAGTGACACTGTACTACTTGTGGGGGATGATGAAAATTATTATTTTTTTTTTTTTTTTTACACTGATTGCTTTTACACCCATAAAGGCTGTAAAAGCAAACATTTCTCCTTTCACTAGTAGTAAGCAATGATGTCAGAAGTGACATCTTGCTTACTACTATTCATGTGATCACTGATTGGCCAATCAGTGATCACATAATTTGGATCTCACACAGAGGTCCCGTACAGCGCCACACACTCCCAGGGAGCACGCACAGCCTCAAAATGCAGGCGCCATTAATGAATGGCAACCCACTCCTGCACTGCTCCTGTCCAGCCGTTATTGTACATGGGCCGGATGGGAAGTGATTAAGGAGTGGCTAAGGCCTAAATCACTCCGGGCATATTACAGCATACGCCTGAGCGAGGGCCATGTTTACCCACAGGCGGGTGTGCACTGGCGTTCCATGCGTCTCCCTGCAGGCAGTCACATTGATGTCAATAGGGACATAGCCACTTCTCCCAATCAGATATCTGTGTGAGTGCGAGTGTATGGCATGGATGTCAAATTGGAAGCAGTGTCTATGTCCATGCAGCTGCCATGTCCCAATTAACATAAATGGGACTGCCTGCACAGGTATGCACAGGTGTTCTGTATAAACACAGCCCTTGCATGGTGTGTATGCTGTGTGAACAAGGCTTAAACTCTCTTCATCAGATTGTTAAAGTCTACCTCCAGGGAAAACAAAAATCCTCCCTAGTCATGTGCTGCCTCCACACGTCAAGGGTTAAATACCTCTTTATGTCTAGGGTACCAGCAGGGGCAGACTGACCATTTGGAAACTCGGGCACTGCCCGAGGGCCCGGGTCAGTAGGGGGCCCCATGAGATGCCCCTGGTACCTTATTCATAGGCTTTTTTTGAGTTTTGGCAAGGACACAGGGGCCCCATGATCCCCTATTGCCCGGGGGCCCCATGAGTTGTCAGTCCACCCCTGGGTACCAGAAAAATTACTTTGCTTACCTGATCCCCGCTCCCCTGGCAGCCATTGTTCCCCTTATGCTCTGGCAGTGGACCGTCCCTCGGCATCCTCAAGTCCAGTGATCTCTCTAAACTATGGCCCATGATATGGCCTTTTGCCTGCCTTTAACCAGCCCTTGGGACACTATTCTCCCTACTGACACCAGTAATAAGGCACTATTTTTTCCACTTACACCAGTGAAAGGGAGGATTTTTGTTTTCCCTGGAATACAGATTTAACTGAATCTACAGTATTGCGTATAATACAATAAATGGGTAATGAACAGAAACACCCACATCTCCAAGATGGGCATGAATAAAGATAGAAACTATAGCAGTGAGATCTTACCACTGGATATCACTCATCACCTCAGATTCCATCTCTAACAGAAATATTACCTATGGATGAATTAGCCTTCTATGCAATAGAATAAATGGCCTACATATAATATATTCAATAGCATGATTTTTCAAAACTTAGGCAACTTGAAATAAGTTGCATTTATATTTATTTCACTTCTAGATGAGAAATAGCATGCACTGTGCAAAAGCACTAAAAACGACTTTTTTATGTGGATAAAATCTACATTTATAGCAGAGATGCAGAGTGTTTATTCTACCAATTGAAAAGTGTAGTATCAGTTATAGCTGAGATTAAAGATCAAGAAAAATATAAAAATGTGACTTTAAAATATATCAAAAACTGTATCATAAGCAATATAACAGAACTGTTTACACCTACAGTAACCAAATATGACATTTTCTATCTGTTGCAGGCTGCTATGCTGCGATAGAAGAGTTTCTCATTACGAGCAGACTGTGAGTGAAAGTTTGGAAGGTTGGGCTTGGTGTGAACTGGGGCATATGTGCCTTGGTTTGGTACTGTGATGTCATTTGAATGTAACTAACTGGATTTTCATGATTGGATTATAATGGGGCAAGAACATACAGGTGGGTGCTGGTCCTGTTTTATATATTACAAGGAATCTCCAAACACCATTATCATGTCAGAAGACGAAGAAAAGAACAAAATACCAAGAATCCTTCAATCCGTCAAATTAGGACATCCTATAAGAATGGTACAATTTGCTGCTAAACATTGTTATTAGGAATATTGTGCTAGATGTTAAATATTGATAGTCAGCTCCTTGAAACCTGACCTGGGGTCACCAAACAACTCAGAAAAGCTAACATTTTTTTTCACTAACACTGGTTATAAAGAGTTTCAAAAGAAAGGATTGAAAGCCGAATAAAGCACACCAGTCATTATGATCTTGTGCTGTAAACTGACATTTTTCTTTTTGAATACAGCTCTCATGTTTGCAGTGGTTAACACTTTTTATTGTGTGTGCAAAACTTTTTTAAGATGAGTATTGTGCTTTTTTCTTTCTATTTAAAGATGCTAAACAAAGGTACATTATGCTTTGGCCTCCGGCACTTTGGCACCGTTAGTTTCTGTGCTTTACTTTTTCCACTAGGAAAAAGTGAAATCATCAGTGCTGCTGAATGTGCCCTAAACATTCTAACTATCCCTACGCAAAAGCATCCCTAATACTTGACTCTACCCCTACCTTAAAATGTAACCACCACCTCTAATGAGTCTTCAGCATTTAACCTCCCACAACATTACTTTTAATCTGTCCCCTAACAACTAACATCCCCAAACTAATCCTAAAACTGTCTATAGGTCTAGTGCCCTCTTAGTTAGCTAGGGGGAGCTAGAATCCTGATTGTCAGAGAGGAGGACTGGATGTGATAGTCAGGAGGTCAAGGCTGAGAGGCTCTGCAGGCCAGCCCATTTGGAATTTCCCCCAGCTCTAAAACTTGGAGGAAGGTCTAAAGGCAGTGGGCAGATCTGAGGAGTGGCTGGCTTGTATTCTTGAGGGACCCTTGCCAATACCCAACAGGAGGTTAGAAAGGGTACAGGACAACCCTTAAAGTAGGTGAGCCTACTCAGCAGAAGAAGAGTTCAGGTGGAAGATGGAAAAGTGAGGTTGAGATGCAGGAGTCTGGGGGGGAACACAGGCTGGAAGGGGCCATCTCCAGGCAGAGGAAACCTTGAGAGGAGGAAAGCTGTGGATTTCACTGGCCCCCTGAAAGAGGACCACCTGGTGGCAGGGAAGGACCAGCCCAGCTTACTTGCCTGGTAGCAGCCACCATCCCAACAGCAGCAGCGCAGGAGAAGGACTCATTGAGTACATGTACACCCCTGGGCCAGAGAGGGGAGAGAGCATTTGGGTGGGAAAAACTAACTTGCTCTGCAGCTGGGACTATTGCCCTTCTAGTAGCCACTACTAGATCCTCTCACCAGGGATTTCTATATACAGCCAGATTGAGGAACATCTGGGGTTGGATAGGTACATTGGAAGATTCTGGCTGGCTCTCCAGAACAGGATTCCTATTTGTAATATAGTTGAGAAAGTTTGTTCTCGGTTGCCATTCCTTTGGGCATCTTATACATCCCTTACCCCATCCAAGTTCTAAAACCCTAATAAAACTTAAAAACAAAGCTCAAGGACTGGTTTCTATCTTCTAGTTAAAGTCTGAATGGAAAGTGCGTGTTGCCTGGCTGTGCAGGACTAAAGGGGGACCCAAATCTCTAGCGACTCCAAAGGAGGTAGTGCTACATAGGTTTTGTGAATCCAGATATTTATAGTGGTTGTGGGAAAAACATTCATAAAATAAATAAATAAATGTAGGCCTTTTTTGATAGATAAGCCTGCTTGGGGGAATAGTTGACACAGTCCACGTGTGTTTATTTGCTGCTTCTCTGCAAACAGGAACTTTATTCAGAGAAAAGACATAGAGTTTAATCATAGATGCAGCTGCAAACATAAACACTGCCATCTACTGGTTGAAAAATATACCTCTACTGAACACTGACACTGATGTAGTTGTTGTACAAAAATATATTGTACTCCAAAGTTACCATCTAGTGTCTATGGGTATCTTAAATTGGTTTGAAAGTGAATTTTTGAAAGTTTTTTTTTTTTTCTACTTTAATGCATTCCCTGTAAAGGCAAAAAAATAAAGGCCCAATAACCTCTCCACCAACCCTCATCCCTAAAACACTTACCTGACACCTCTCACGGCTCCAACGCTGTTCGGGCTACAGCACTGATCCTCTCACTTTCTGGTCTCACAAAAATCACTGAGAGCAGGAGAAACCATAGGCTCCTGCTGCTGTCAGTTTAACTCCTATGAGAAGGGAACTGGGTCATGGCTTTAGATTGTAAGCTCCACGAGCAGGGCCCTCACATTCCTTCTGTACTGAAATGTATTGTAATTGTACTTTCTCCCTTATATTGTAAAGAGCTGCGCAAACTGTTGGCGCTATATAAATCCTGTATAAAAATAATAATAATGGCTTACCAGCACTGTGTGTCTATAGCCGCACACAGCCTGGATCAGGAGTGTGCGATCTTGGGTGTCCACATAGCATCAGGTTTGCTACGGAAGCACCCATAGTGGACAGCGCTGGCAGGGGACTTCCAGAAGAGGAGGTAAGGGACTGCTCTGTGCAATATTGTTACAACAGGTAAGTATAATGTTAAAAAATAGCCTTTAATATCACTTAACCTAAACCCCTCAGTTAGCCTTACCTTATGACCACTCAACACTTTACTTCTCAAATCCTGTCACCTAATTTTAACTCCTTAGTTTAGCAATAACTTAAGTGGACCCATTAGTTAATTCTTAGTTGTATTGTCATTAATGCCCCCCCCCCCCCCCTCACACACACATATTAGAAATGCATTTGAATGCACCAAATTGCATGGGGTTGCAACACCATGCAACTCTGTGTGACATGGACTTTTTTCCCTGCTTTTCTGTGGGTAGGGCAGCCCATTGAAATGAATATGCTGCTTAAACACAAGTGTGAACCTAGCATAAAAGTGGAACCAATACCTACAAAGTTATGAAAATATTTTGTTTCCTATGTTTCTATCATCTTAGGGAATTGGCATATATCATATAGTTAACTCTATTACTACCATTTCATTGCAAACATGTTCCTCATTACTGTACCTAAATAGCGCTCTAAAAAACGGTATGTATCCCAATGCCAGCATAAAAATAAAACTATAGAAGGAGATTTTTTTTCAGAAAATGGAAATCTGTGTTAAGTATATATAATATATTCTCCCAGCAAATATGTCTTTTATCTTTATCAACCCTTTACAAAGCATCATGATATAGGCTTTGTTATAGCATGGATTTTTTTTTTTTGATAAATATATACATGTCTTTTATTATCAACACCATCAGCAGAGCTCTGTGACACAGTACAGAATACATGTGACACATATAGCATTTCAACCCCCCACCTTTAGAACTCAGAACTGCATTCTCCATTACTGACCCCTTTGTTATAAACAATACAGATGCATTTACGATGCCTTTGAATGGCCGAATACATAATAAAAAGTTGAATCTGTACTGCATGTTACATAATATTAAAGGTTAATAAAACTAGGCTATCATTTTATTATTTGCAGCATATAATATTACTTTCATTAACATAGCTCTACGTTTAATTTCTTTCTTAGGCCTGAGGTCACAGAGAGGTATACCACATGACTGTGCAGAAATTGAAAACCAAAGTCACATACAAGCTGTGACTAAGAGGAGCTGTTTTAGAGTTGGCAATATCTCCCAGCTATCAAAAAATAAAAAGCTTTGCCTCAGTGATCTAAATTGAACAATATTTTCAGGTGGCTTTATTGTTCTTGTCTAGTCCTAATTTTTGGGAGTTTCATGTGAAATTTGAATTGGAACCTCATGAAAACAGTTGAAATACATTTCATGAAAACAGTTGAAATACATTTACTGTAGTTTAGTGTTAAACCTACCATAGGCTTTGCAATTTTGGCCAGCCATTTGTGTACTACAAAAACCTCTATCCTCGGTGTTGAATGCTATTCATTAACCAATGTAATATTTGGGGATGTTTATCTCCGTGGCAGATGCGTTTTCAAGT